AGTCCTCCAATTGGGCCCTCGATCGTCTGTCCCGCTGGACCCTACAGGCTCTTCGGGCCTCCACGAACACTGCCTCTGCCCGTCTTGGGCCCTTGCCAATGCAGGGTGCGTGCTAAATGCTGTGAGGCTCTGGCAGACGCTTGGGCTCCAACCAATGTAAATCGCTGGCTCCTGTTTCGTCCTGCTTGGAGGATGGCCCTCAGTCCTACGTCAACACGGAGCCGACTGTGCGTTATTGGTGGTGTCTGACAGACATATACGCCCCCATTGACTCAGGGATACCCTGATGGGCGCGCAGAGTCCTCCTGCTGGCACTGAAGTGTCCGGCCCAGCGAGCCGGGCCGCCGAATACCTCCTCTGGCCGGCCTTTTGAGCTATTAATCGTAAGTGCCGAAGGGTTTGATGATGATACGCATTGTCTGTATATATATTTTGTTTTATTTATATGTATGTATGTATGCATATATATTGATATATAAACATGTATATATAAATACATTACATCTCATACATGGAACATCCTCAGGTATTAAGGAGTAAAAAGTAAAAACGGTTACCTCATAATTTGCAAAGGATGTGCAAACACCTACGATATTCAATGGCCTTTCACTTACTGACCTTACCCCAATGGCCTCAATGGTCATTGGCTACTTTGTGAACAACAGCACGGCTTAATATCCGGACACTACGGAGACAACCCTACTCGATGCAGGCAATGAATCGTTGGAACAAAATTGACCAGAACAAAGTTGACATATCTAAAGCGTCTGACCAGCGTCGAGCGCAACCGGCTGGCGGAGAAACTCGGGAGGTGTGGCATTGATCGCCACCGGTTCTGGGACTCACTCAGTCATCGTAGGCAGCGCGCACGCGATGTTAACGAAGTGTTGGCATCTGTATAGTGACTCACGGGGTAGTCCAATTGTCCATTTTGAATCCGATCTGGTTGCTGTCATTTATCAATGACATTCCACTTCATATCACATAGTGCAAGATTGTCATATACGGCAGCATTGCACTCGAACATCGTGTTCATGTGTATATATATATATATATATATATATATATGTGTGTGTGTGTGTGTGTGTGTGTGTGTGTGTGTGTGTGTGCGTACACAATGTTGAGTTTGATCCTGTCCGTGACACACTCCAATTGGAGACTGAGACGCGGTTGGACTCAGCGTCCGTGGCACCGTACTAGAGAGCTGTAGCCGCCGTCCGCGCAGAGTCAAGGCTGTCGGTCAGGAGCCGTAGTCGCTGTTCGCGCAGAGTCAAGGGTATTGGTCGGCCTGATCGTGTTTCTCTCATTCCGGCTGAATTGGGGTGGCTCAGATTAGATGTGTTATTAGTCGAACGTGACGTGACAGCAATGTTTAAACTGTTATATTTTGCCCGTTTACGGACAAGGTTAAAACAGCGCGTACCATATCATGATGCAGCATCGTCTGGTAAAGCATGCACGGATTGCCGCCTGCAGTTGCCTGTGTGCTCACAGGGAGCGCGCGAATTCGCTTTGCCCTCGAAGCTGCGTCGATATGAGATGCGCGAGTATAGAGCCGCGCGAGTCAGCAGCCCTCGGCGCCCTCATACGGTGACGCGGCCGTGTAAGCAACGGTCCATATCCAGTGCGTGGCATGTGGCAAATCTTACGAGGGTTAGCAGGGTGGTTGGAATGAACTGTTTTACCACGTGCGCACTTCGTGCATACGCATACGCAGGGGTGCAGCGATGATGTTCGTGAGGAGAATGATCGGAGCCCGGTGAGTACACAGCAGGTGAATTTTTAATCTTCTGTTGAGAGCGGCCTATGGCAACATGAACACAAAAAGATGTGGGCCTAGACGTGTGATGTGCCCCTCCCCCGCCCCACTCCCGTCTTTGCTGCATCTCGTACCTATATCCGCTATGCGACTTTTTATCTTATACACCTATGTCCTGAAGGCATTCTTTTTTAACATCTTGATCCGCAACAAGAAAAGCCAATTGCATGGATAAAAAAGGTTAACGGAATGCATGATGATCGTGATGGACCGTATACGCGCAAAGGTGCATATACCTGACGTCATGGCGGGCATGCAGTCGTTTTAATATTCTGATTCGATGTATTATTGATTGGTTAATGTGTGACTGCGTTTTTCTCCTAATGCCCTGGAGGCTTCGCGGCAATCTTGAGATGTCATGTTATTAAGGGCGCATGCACCTTACACGTCGTGGCAAGCACGTGGCCAGGTTCAGAGTTAAATTCGGTGCATAAATAACCGAGTTGATTACGTCCGTGGCAGCGTTTTCGACTTACACGAATAAGAAGATGAATGTGAATATGCTGTTATCTGTATTATCAAATGTCCACATTCTCCAAAAGGCTTTATAGACGGACCGCAGATCCCCAAAAGGTCTTGAGAACGCGGACATCCCAAGATGATCTGAGTGAGTAGGCGCAGTTAAGTGGCCATTAACTGAAAATGTTTGAGTGTTCAAGACCTACCCAAGCTGTACTAAGGATGTACAAGTACAAGCTGTACAAGCTGTACCCGTTATGGTAAAGGGACGTGAGAAGGCAAGCCCACAGCAGGTGAATTCAAGAGGAATCCCAGATCTAGCCGTCCCGCGACCCGCGTCCTGAATGTCCCGAAATTTCGCCTGCTCCCCGTCGCACTCTCACCACGTTCTCATTTACCCAGGATGGCCATTGCCATCTGTGTGCGATTACTGTATGTTAAAATATGAAGCATCACGTTCGTAGTAATATTTTCTTAATGCGGTTGGACTTCGACAGACATGACTCTATTTGGCATGTCACGCAACATTATGCAATTTCACTGCCACAAGCTCGAGGTAATCGAGCATCAACTTTGTGTTCTATAGTTTATAAGATAATTATTCATGTAGAACACCAGATAATGCGAACTTTTTTACCCTTGTTCAACCAAATTAAATATACTGGAATGCAAAGAGTCAAGAAGGGTATTGCAGTGACGGAAAATAAATTTATGTAGTGTGAAAATTTCTTCTGACGTACCTGCAGCAGGAGAAAGTGAGGCGGTAATGACGCATGTTATTGCGATTCCGTGTACGTCTGGAAGCATCATCAAACGCGGATGTGACCGATGGTGTGGCGGTGGTGTGGAGTAGTGAGGTCGTGGGGTGGCAGCAAGGTCACATAAAAAGTCAACCTGTTGTTTATTTAGGTGCCAGTTCAGATAAGTCAAGATTCTTAATATACATGGTGTGGGGAAGTGGAAGTACTTGATAAACAATCATATCGTCTGAGAGTGACAAGTGGGGGACAGTAGTCAGAAAAGTGAGCTGTTGTGCAAGGAGTGGAAAGTGGATCATTGACGGCGCGGTCGTGGTTGACAGCGGTCATGTGGCTTTGCTAAAGTGGGCAGGCATTCATGATATTTTTCGTTCTCCAAGTGTGCCTGCCTCCTGAGAACTAGAAGAACTGCAGAAATGTACTCACTGAGGAAGTGGTTCTACAGGCCAAAGGTTTGTATTTCTGGCAATTGCTATCTTTTCTTTTTGTATGAAAATGTGTAACCCCTGTATTTAAAGCACTGTAAATGATATGATATATTTTCCTGGATCTTCTAAATGTTCAACACATATCCAGAGCTCAAGGTAACTGGACAGTTGCACCTAGATTCCTGTGTGCCTCCTTGCCTGCCTACAAATGTTAGATCCTTCAGATTAGACCTAACTTGAACTGGTGACTGCTAGCTTAAGCAGACCTCAATACATGTTTAGGAATCTTAGGCCCTGTTCAGACTGCAAATTGATGTGTTACATAAACAAGTCTGGTATGGCAGCCTAGTCTGCAACAGATCCATCCATGGTGTGAGATGCTTACAGGATGTTGGTACACTGAACCTGGCACTTGTGTATGCTGAAATCAGGTCTGACTAACTTGAGCTGAATATTTGAGTCAATTTTGTATGAGAAATGTCAGAGAATGTCTGCCTGAATTTACATATGCAGTGCTATAGTTTTGTGAAACAGTGGCATTCTATGCACTCAAATTGGTGGCAGTGCAGCTTGTATTGTAAAAAAGATCCAGGCACAAATGGTTTTAAAATTTGGTGCATTTTGGTCTGGGTTTGGCACATGTGTTCCTAAGATGCAACACACTAATGTGTGGTACACATGTTGCAGATTGATTTTTTTGTAGATTGAAGCCCTGGTACTTGCATGTTAAGCCATGTTACATCAGACCCACCTGTGAGATCATGCTAAATATTGTTTGCTTATGAATGTTGAGATAACTCATTGGTTGGCTTACACTATTTATCAAAACTTGGTTATGTTTGTATGGCTCTAAACTGTCAAAAGTCCATTAAATGCCATGCCAAGAGTCATCTAAAGCCATTGTCAATTCATAGCATGGAAGGTTAGAATAATAATGCAAGATTCTATATTATTATTGCTGCAAATTATTCATGCACCATTAAACTAACATGTAGGACTGGATGCAGGATTTTGCAGTTGGGATGACTTCTAAAGTTAATGCTTCACCCATTTTGACATTCCATTGGCATGGAATTGTTTGACTTTCATGTATCAACAGTATATGTGTTCACATTTTTTGTCCATTCATGTTTATTGTCTATCTCACTTCTGTCTCGCAGGCAGAGACCCATATGTCTCAATTTTGTACATGTCAGTTGTTTGTAAATTTGTACATCTAAAGGGCAGACAGGAGAATATATGTATGATATAATGGTTTAGAAGTAAAACTGCACAGTGATATGTGAATGTTATGGGGCTAGTTTTTCATTGCATTACTATTTATTCTTTATCAGTGACTAATAACATTTTATTCTGTAGGCAATATTGGTTTCATGTGATATTATTTTTTGCTGCCATTTAAAAGCTTAGCTGGTATGCTCAGCTTATCAATTTGTTGTCAGCATGAGAAATGCTGTTATTTCCTGACATTAAGGACACCCTAAATTTGCACTGTAGCCTTACAGCTGGGATGAATTGATATTTCTGTGTTTCATTCCATGGTGCTGTATTTTCCACCTGGCTGGTAGAATGCTAACTATGTGGTTCTTTTAGAAAGTTCAGATGAAGCTCTGATTCAAATAGCCATGCATTGCTGGCTTCTTTACTTAGCTGTTTCTGCTTTATTTGACATTACATTACCTGTTTAATTTGACAATATATGTTATGCAAAAGCAAATAGTGCCTGCCACCCCATGGCCAATTATTTTGTACTCCAATACTTATGTATTGTATGGTGTGATCAAGTATGATCCTCAATAAAGAATCTACTTTCTGCTCTATCTCAAGCTGTCAAACTCATTAAACATTATGTGATGTCAGTAAGAACTCTTTCCTAACCTAACCCATACCCAGTTTTTAATGACCTGCTACATGCATGTCTACATGCACATGCACACAAATTTGTGCACATGTTAATAATGCTATTCATGAACATCCCTGATGTGGGCATCATTGAATTCTTTGATACCCTGTGAAACTGAAGTAATTTTCCCTGTTGGCACTCTGCAGCACAGTTTAGGCTGTCATGGTTTTTGGCCTTCCAGCTTGACACTTTTGTGGACATCTAGAAACAACAGGTAGTAGTGCTCCCCAGTATTTGTAATGTATGGACCACTTTGCTTACCATTATGTGCTTGCTTTTCAGAGGACAGACACATCGCTGTTTGCACAGTTCTTCTTTGCTGATGATGAGTTGAACAAGGTCACCCAGGAGCTGGACAGCTTTGATGGCAGGAAGGACCCGGAGAGGTGCACACTTCTGGTGAACCAGCTCCGGGCATGTCAGGACAAGGTGGGCAGGCTGGATGAGTGGAGCCAAGCTGAGCTGGGCAGGTTGCACAGGTGGAGCTGAGCTGAGCTGGGCCTAGTGTCCATTCTGGTTGGTAAATTTACCATCAGTTGGCTGGTACAGATTGCAGTTGATACAGGGCTGTGGCCACTAGTACCTCTTGAGCACTCAGTACTGTTTCATTAGTGCCTTGGCAGTGCAGGTCATGTCATCCAGTGATGCACATGATCTGGACATCAGGAAGTGTCAAATCATTTGTACTTGGTTGCAGTGTGTTTTGTGCTTAATAATCTGAAGTTATACATGCTGGCTGCTCTCTTGCAATAGCTCTAAGATTGGTTTGATGGAATCAACTCATTCTACTATGCTGCAGCTGGCAGACAATTCGCATTGTTGGTGGGCGCACATAAGCCGGTGCCGGAGCTCCGATTGTCTGTGAGGTGGGAGCGGGCGCGTGCCGTCCGGAGGGAGCGTCGCGTCTGACCCCGGACAGACAGGCAGTCGCGCTGGGAGGCCGCGGTGCTCATGGCGTGACGCGCCGGCCCAGACGCCGCCCATTGTTCCCCGTGCCGCGGCGCACAATGTGCATTCCTCCGGCAGCAATTACGCATTGTCAGAGCGCCGGCGGCCGGCTGCACAGGCAGGCATGCGCCCCGGGGCGCTGGCATCACGCGTCTGCAGAGCTAATTACGCCGTGCACGCGCCATGAGCGGCGGCCAGCGCTCCGACGGCGGCCTCCGGGGACCCGGCGGCCGCCGGCCGGGGACGCCTCCAGGTCTCCGGAACGCGCCGACCGGACCTGACCTGACCTTGCTGTCTTCCGTCTGCAGGTGCTCAGCATCTGCAACCATATGATGGACGAGGTGGTGGGCGAGGATCGGGCGCCGCGCGACTTTCGAGCCAAGTTTCCCGACGACGTGCTGCAGGAGAACCTGGCCGGCCAGCTGTGGTTCGGTGCCGAGGTGAGGCCTGGGCGCGGCCGGCCGCGGCTGACGGGTCGCTGCGAGCACGTGATGGTCAGCTGCGCTCCGGACCGGGCCGGTGGCCGGGGCTTGGGTCGACGACAGCGGCTGACGGGTCGCTGCGAGCACGTGACGGTCAGCTGCGCTCCGGACCGGGCCGGTGGCCGGAGCTCGGGTCGACGACAGCGGCTGCGGCCGGCGGCGGTTGACGGGGTTCAGTGAGCGAGAACAGGAGCCTTTCCACGCAGACACACGGGGCCTGGATTCTGGGGTAGCTGGAGATGTTGCCTCACTTGTCAATGATGAGCGGTTCAGTCAGCACTAAATCTTGCACCGCGATGTTAGCAACAGAAAGCTCCCGACCTATGCATAAGGTACGCATATTGAACCATCGAACACAAGCAAACGTGGCCGCGCGGTTTGAAAACATAAACCAACTTTCCAGACTTGTCTCTTCAGCGGCGTAGGTAACGAATCGACGGGTCCTGGTTCTGTCAACAAGGTAACGCCGGTAAGCCGTGGTCACGGAATGGGGCAGCCCCGAGTCGTGAATGGGCTTGTGTTTCCTAATAAAGACTGCACCATGGACATGATTCAAGTGTCCGGTCATTCCTAATAACTTTTAATGTGGAAAGATTTTTCGAATCCTGCGTGTTTTTAAAGCTTATATAAAATGAGCTTTTCGTAGTTTCCACGTCCAAGCGAGCAAAGCATGATGCCGATTATTTGGGTTGTAAGAACTCACATTGCTTTTGTTAAACAGGGCTCCGATACAGCGCCCAGCGTAAAGCATAATATTTATAACTTAAACACCGGAAAAGTGCGAATGTTTAGCCGTGCACTAGTTTCGTGACACTTCCTCGCGGTCAACAAGATTCGTTGTGCAGCTTCCTGCCACATCAACGTCACGCGTTTCGCACAATGGATTACAGTGCGGCCGTCTGCTTGCAAATGAGTGTGGTGGCGGGGCTTCCACCGGCCAGCGTGCCGGTGCTTCCGTGAGACGGAAGCCGTGGCTGGTGTCCGCGCCTCGCTCGTGCCCAAGCTGGGCGTCGTGCGCGTGGTGGGTGGCGTCACCGGGCTGGGGATCCCCGGCGGACGGGCCGGCCAACGACGCCGGGCTGACCGCCGCCGCGCGATAATTCCGTGCGGGGCGGCCGGCGCCGAGGGGGAGGGGCGCGGCGGGCCGTGGGTCGTATGCCGCCGGCCGCGTGCCGCCGGCCCCCCACGTAACCGCCCGACGCCCGGGCCCGCCCGCGTTGGCGTGTGCGGGCGGATTGACGTCGGGCGCGGTCCGGGCCGTCGTGTTTGGGTGTTCCTGGGTATCCCTCCTGCCTTTCATTGACGTGTTTGCTTTCCTGGTGGCCAGATCTTTCGTTCTACCTCCCTATCACCGGTGCTTTCTCGTATGCCTCACTTTGAGGATATGTGGACCTTAGACTCAAGAGTTCTAGCTCTGAGGACCGGGTTTTAGGTGTCTGCTGCTAGCACATGACTACCCATGGCCTAACGCCCGGTGCAACCCACTGCTAGTGTGTCCTGACATCCTAGCAGGAAGCACGCTGGAGTTGACGATACGTGTGAATGTGTTATCTCGTCACGGTCCGATGATGTCCGTATGGCTGTGAGACTTGCCTGTCACACCGCTCGTGTATCGGTGGAACCCGTATTGTGGGTCACGTGACCCTGTGTGGCGTCCCACGGCGTGGCATCCCGTGGCGTCACGTGACTGCTGCGTGGCCCATTTGCGGAGCAGCTGTGAGACCACGTGACCCCGTGTGACGTCTGTGTACCGGTCTGTCGGCAGTGTTTGGCGGCCGGCTCTTGCATCATGAATCGGGAAATGGAGAGCGCTGGAATGCGTCCGCTGGCCAAGGCTGTCACCAAGAGTCTGGAGAATGTCCGCGTCATGCTGCGCGAACAGGTCAGCAGACACGGGCCAGGGCTGGGTCTGCGAATAGGTCATCGGACACGGACCAAGGCTGGGTCCGGGAGCAGGTCACCGGGCACGGACCAGGACTGGGTCCAGGAACAGGTCAGCGCACACGGACCAGGACTGGGTCCAGGAACAGATCAGCGGACACGGACCAGGACTGGGTCCAGGAACAGGCCAGCAGATACGGACCAGGGCTGGGTTCGGGAGCAGGTCATCGGACACGGACCAGGACTGGGTCTGCGAATATGTCATCGGACACAGACCGGGGCTGGGTCCGGGAGCGGGTCAGCGGACACGGACCAGGGCTGGGTCCGAGAGCAGGCCGGCGGAGGTGGTCGACGCTTACGGTCCTGAACCAGAAAGCTCAAACAAACACGACGGTTAGGTTGGCTGATACAGACAAGGATCCGGCTGAATGCTCTCACCTCGCACGATCCGGCGTGCTCCCGACGGAGGGTGACTCAGGGCCCAGTATGACGAGGCGCCGTGTGCACCCGGGAGCGAGGCCCGCTGGTATCAGTCCGCTATTGGAGCGGAAAACGAGCTCATCGTTGATGCACCCGATGACTGGGCTTGGGGAAAACAGCCGTGGCTGGAGGTTTATTTGGAAGAAACCTGGGAGCGCGGAAATCTCAGTCCGCGCACGTATGTGGGAGGAAGCGAATCGACCGTCATGACTGTTGGTTGATGACTCCGCTGACGTGAATTGAAACAGTAGCGACCGCCAGCGCCCTATGTTGTAAAGAAAAACACCAGCTGGGTTATCGAAGTTAGCTGCACAGTTCATGCTTCAAGCGAATCTGACTTCACCGTTGCAGTTCTAGACAGAACGCGTCGGGTGGATTTCCGCGGCGACGATTTCAGCTGAAGTCGTGTCAATCTTCCTCCCCCGCAATTCAGTCTGCTGCGGTTTCTGATATCTGCTTTTTCTCGCCATAAACAAGCTCGTGTCGGGAGCTAGTCGCGAATGAGTCCAGTAATATTTGTATAAACATGTTTTCGCGGCGGATGTGCCCGTGTTTGCAGGCGTACTGACGCAAATCCGTGCATCGTTTAGTAAAGTTAGCCGTGCGCTCTTAGGCCAGCCGTCCCACATGCGCGGTATCGCCTGACCTTTCACCGTGTCGGCGGCTCCGGGACATGCCGGTGACCGAGCTTGCACCTGAAAGCGCGCGGTGTTCTGTCTCTTCAGGCTTGGGCTCACCTGTGGTGATGCTGTGGACCTCCACAAAGGATGCTTTTGAAAATGGGAAAAGAGCCACGTGCTTTGTTCGTGTCGTGAGGAGTTTTGCTTTGGGTTATCACCCAGCCAAGCAAGCTGTCTTGACCCTTTTGATAAGTACACTCGTGCCGTATATATGTGCCGCAACCCAAAGCGTGTGCTCTCGGTGCGTGAGTGCAGTAATGAGTTAATATTGCTGGTACCTGACACCGGGTCTGGTCCCTTCATGTGATGAGCCGTCTCCTCCTGCTCACCGAACGGTGTACCCGCCTTCCGCAGTGCCTCAAGTCACCTCAGGAGTTCACGGAGAAGCTGTGTGAGTCGCTCAAGATCTTTGATCGTCTGTTTGCCGAGTTCGAACTGCGTTACGTAAGCGCAATGGTGCCGGTCAAGTCCGCCAAGGAGTACGGCCTCATCCAGAACGTCATTGCACTGTTCTCTGAGACCGTGCAGAGGTGAGGGACGGGCTCGGAGGGAACACTCTGCCAGATCGTTTAGAGGTGAGGGACGTACTCCCAGGAGACGCTGTGTCAGACCGTGCGGAGGTGAGGGATGGGCTCCGAGGAGACGCTCTGCCAGACCGTGCGGAGGTGAGGAACGTACTCCCAGGAGACGCTCTGTCAGACCGTGCGGAGGTGAGGGATGGGCTCCGAAGGGACGCTCTGCCGGACCGTGCAGAGGTGAGGGACGGGCTCCGAGAAGACGCTCTGCCAGACCGTGCGGAGGTGAGGGACGTGCTCCGAAGGGACGCTCTGCGGGACCGTGCAGAGGTGAGGGACGGGCTCCGAGAAGACGCTCTGCCAGACCGTGCGGAGGTGAGGGACGTACTCCGAGGGGACGCTGCTAGAGCGAGCTGAGGTGAGGCTGCTGGGAGCCCCCGAATGTAAAGCCTTCTGGATGGCGATGGCGGGGTCGGACTCCTTGACGTGAGTATTTACCAGCCGCCTGTGACTAGTCCTGGTGACCCATGTTGTGACAATGACAGGCGGAACTGAGGGATTCCCACCGTACCCAGCGGCATGACTCAGCGCGCGCGCCAAACACGGCCCGCTGTAGGCAGCTTTCCGTCGGGTGGGCGGAGCTATACAGACGGCGACGTGTCTCTCTTAGAATTGTTATGCCGTGGCTCTGTCTGGTCTCGACCCATGTTGATCCCTGTGTGGACCCCGATGTGTCCCCGAAGTACTCTCTTGTTATCGCTCGGAGACGTAAACTGCTTTTTGTGGCGACTGGTTACCCATTCGTACTCACTTTTGGCAAGTAGATTCAATGCGCTCCAGTGAACGTGACTAGCATGTGTGATATGACTGTTTTGGCTTGTATGGTGTCACGCGCGACATTGTAGACGTGCCTTATTTTGGTTTTGTCGTGATACATGCCGGCGCTCAGTCCGGTGGCTGATCGGCATCGGTCATAGTCGGCAGCGCGTGCACCATTATGTAGAGCTAGCAAATTCAACGCATTGGCATGCACAGTCTGTAGTATGTAGCCTGATACAACAGGATAATCGTTGGCGTTTTGTCCGTGGCATGTGGTCGTTTTGGCCATCAACGAGCATCGCAAACTGTCGGGCGGCCGCCGCGACAGGGACGGCCAAGCGCGCACGCAATGCACGAGCAGTAGCCCGTTTGAATTGTTGCTCGTCCCAAGTTTCGTGTGCTTCCGGTTGCAGCGCTCGCGCCGGGGCGTCGCGTGCCCTTAACAAAGCGCATTAGTGGGGGGATCATGGCAGGGGCGCCCCAGCACGCCACCCCGTCAGGTTACCAGTTCACACGCGGCTGGACGGGACCTGTCCGCGTCATTGGTCGGCTAACAATCGAGCTGCCGTGGTCGTAACTGGCGTGGCCTGCGCCTGCGTCGGGGCTCATTGGGCGCCGGTGCGACTGGTGCGTGCGCTGGGCGCCCATGTTGTCTTATCTCCCATGAAGAGTGCGTGCTCGTAGGTCACTCGCGTCACCGGTGTTAAGTTGCGTCTCCACCCCTCGTGCCCGTGCCGGTGCGTGACGGCGTCCGCCTGCGTCAGGGCGTTGCGGTTGGGTCTGCTCAGCCAGGAGCAGCTGGACCTGTACGACCCGGCGCTCATGTTCACCATCCCGCGGCTGGCCATCGTCGCCGGCCTGGTCATCTACCCGGACGGGCCTCTGCGGCTGGACCAGGACATCGCCGACATCTCGGAACTCTTCCGGCCGTTCAAGGTAGGGGCGGGCGCCGGTCGGCTCTGGCGGCCGGCCCGCTCGTCGGCCGTCGCTGATGACGCCGAGTGCACGCACTCGAGTCGGCTCTCACGGCCGCCGGCCCCCGTCCGTCTGGGTGGGGTTGTCGGAAACAGCGGTGGAGTGGTAAAACCGGGCGGGTTTCCCAGCCGGGCACGGCGCCGGTCCGTTTGTCCGCGGCGACCCGGCGAGTCCGCCGGCCACCGACCGGCCCCGCGTCCGTCGCTCCCGGCGGCGCCGCCCTCGCGCGGACGTCCGGGAGTGTGCGCTTCCTGTGCGGCCAGGCGGCCAGCCGTGTCTGGTTGTGCTCAGACGCAATCGGGCCCAAGGTCGACACGGGCCGGGTGGCGGCGGCCGGCCTCAGTCGTCCTCACTCATGGCACGGAAACGCAGACTGTGTCGCTGACAGGACGCGCCCGCGATAGGGTGCTTGCCGAACCGCGACGCGGCGTGATGAGTTTATGATTGGCATTTGGGGTGCCGTGCTTGCTTCGCACTGCACGTCGATGTTTTATTTATAAAAAACATACTTCACAAAGGAGCAATGTTGCATTAGTAATTTTATCCGATCGTGTTTGCGTTGTTTGGAACATGGTTGGATTCTATGGTTGGTTATTCCATGGCGGCAGGCGTCCGAATGGCTGTACACTGTCCCATGAGAGCGGAAGTGCGATTGGAAAATGGTACCATTGTCAGTTATTGGGGCTTTTCGTGCATTCACCACCAGAGAGTCCACGTGCGGCGTTGTCGCGGTGCATTCAAGGTGACCAGACGCCTAGATCCAGCACCACGCGCTGCCTCGCTCCAGTGCGTAGCTGACCGCCCCCCTCCGCCGCCGGCAGAACCTGCTGTGCAAGATCCGCGAGCTACTCTGGACGCTGAGCAAAGCCGAGCTGTACGCGCTGGAGAAGGCGCTGTGCTCGGTGGACGAGCCGATCGCCACGGTGGCGGCCGAGGCGCCCAGCGCGCCCGATGCCTACCCTATGCCCGACATCGACGCCTTCGTGGCCGAGTTCTACGCGCGTAACCCGGGCTGCCGGCGCAGCGTGAGCCGCGCCGCCTGCCGCGAGACGGAGGCGCGCCTGCGCCAGTTTCACCTGCACAACGCCGGCGGGCGGGCGCCGCGCCACCGGCGTCGCACCGCCGCCGGCCAGCCGCCGCCGCACCGCCGCGTCGCCAAGAGCGAGCCGCTGCCGCCGGCCGGCGCCGGCCCCGCCGCAGCGGCCGCGGCGGCCGCGGCCGAGGCCGGCGGCCGGGTCGGCCGAGTGCCCGTCATCGCTTGCGATTACGGCAGCCGGTGAGTGACGGCCCCCGGCGCACGGCAGCGGCGCTGTCTGTCGGCGGCGGCAGAAGGTGGTGCGGCTCGTGCTTTTGTATGAGTCTGGTGCGCGGCGCGTGGCCACGGGCTCGTAGGCGGCGGCTGCGCTTGAGCCAGGTGTTTCGTGCCTCACAACACCAGCTGTGCCGGTGCCCGCGGTGCCCGCCCTTCCTGCCAGGGTGAGGGGCAGGCGACGCCATATAGCCTCAGCATGTGAGTGCGTCGTAAAGCTCCAATGACACACACACCAGCTGTGCCTTTTGTGAAATGTTAGGCAGGAGCGCGCCTTGGTGCGCCTCGACCCCGGGCCGTCTCTGAGGCCCGGCTCACCAGGTGTGCGGCAGGCGTGTGTCCGTCCCAGTCGGACCGGTTTAAACATTTGGAGAGTGAGAGGTAGTTCACTGGTTGCCGTTACGCTCGATGCTGCTCGCATGTGTACGAATATTTGGAACTGCCTTGCCTGCTCTCACCCATCGCTGTGCTGCTGGGCTCCCCCTTTTCGCTCCCGTTCCAATTGCCGTTCCTGTTCCCGTTGCCGATCCCGATCCCGTGGCTCGTCGGTGCTGCGCGCTCCCTCCGTCACCGTTCGCTGCTCCGTTTGGCGGCCGTCACCCGTGTGACGCGGCGCCGCGCGGCCACAGGCTGGACCAGCGCCGGGACGTGGAGCGGGCTGTGGGCGCCATCCTGGAGGACCTGGTGGGTCTGGCCGTGGCCGAGGCCGAGCGGCGCGCCGAGGCCGAGCCCCCGCCGCCGCCGCCTCCCCCGTCGCCGCCGCCGCCGGCGCAGCCTGCCCGGCCTCACGGCCGCTACCGCAAGAAGAAGCTGACGCGTGCCTGCGCCGGCTCCGGCGGCCTGCTCTACCAACACAACCACTGGTGAGCGGCCTTCCGCTGCTCGCGGCCACACCAACTCAAGGAATACCGTTACCAGTGGTCGTAGGTGGATGGTGACATAGGATGGCACGACACAGGGTGTTCCATGATGTCGCCACGGTACACGGCTGCGTGGTTGTGCTCACGGCAGCGCAGTGGCAGTTTGGTGCCGAGTTTAGTTGGTCACTTTAGTCAGCGTGTTTCTTGTGGTCGAGTGTTAAAGGGATTGCTCCACATTTGTGCGCGGTTTCGAACTGAAATAGCCATCTTTAAGATCATTGGGTGCAGTTTACAGCCCTACCCTTCTTAAGACATGAGCTCTTCTGATTTCTGAGCTCTACGTCCGCCAGGATGAACAGACCATTCCGGGAAGACTTTCAAGTTCGCCGAGGTATCCATGATGCCATAATAACGTCATTCAGATCCTGCCATTTCATTGGTCATGCGACGATTAGGGCCATGAAAAATGTAGTGGTCGAGTCCTTCGTATCTGGCGTTCGTGAGCACGATTTCCAGATATAACGGCTGTTAATTGGCCCTCAATCCATATTTTGCAAGGTGCGATGACGTTATGAGACAATGACGCATTGAGGAGCATACTTACTAGGCAGAGAAATTACGTTGTCCAGAGCAGTCGTTTCCACTTGAAAGTATGCCAGTAGTTTAAAGTGAGCTTGTTTCATCGTCTGGTGCTTACTTCTTTATCTTCAGATGTGGAGCATTCCCTTTAAGCCTCCTCTGCTCGAGCCCTGGTATCAATAGCATCCCCTCACTGGTCTCTTGAAAGTAAACTTGCATGCGAAAAGCTTTCCCAAGAGTCGTGACATAGTTAAGCTTCAAAACGCCAGTTCATCCCCAGTCCACCTCTATTCGCACCAGCCCGCGGCGTGTGACGGAGGCAGTGCTGCTCCTCGGATCGAAAGTTTCGGGAGCGGGGGGGGGGAGGGGGGCAGGAGCTGGGACCGTCAGGGGAAGTTACTTGCAAGTGTAGAACTAACTGTGACCGGCTTGTAATAGACGGCCACCGTCACCGTCTGTGACGTGTTGCAGTGTTTTTACGTGCAGGTTTTGCAGAGGGAACGATGTGTGACAGTTGACACCAGAAAGCTGACTTTAGTTCGTTCAAACGTGGTAGGCCAATTTGGACAGGTTGGTGTGAGGATGGCTCCGTGCTTATAGACATCAACACCTGAGTAACGAAAAAGGAGAGGCACGATTGTCAGCTGTATCGGATGAAATGTGATTGCATGCTGCAGGTAACGTGTTGCAATGCAAAAACTTATCTTAGAAGAGAACCCACAGGCCACGGTCCCTGCCGGCGATGACGGCGAAAATGAGTGGATTCGTTGGTCGGTTTGTGACCGAACCGAACCCCGCCGCAGCGACCGGACGCCGGCTGGCGCGTCGACGCCGGCGGAGCACGGCCAGCCGTCGTCGCCGTCGTCCTCGACGTCGAGCGACGAGGACCGCGCCGGCCGGAGCGACGACCGCGAGATCGCGCTGGCCATCCAGGCGGCCGAGATTGCCACCCGCAACCGCGCCCGCGCCCGCTTCAAGTCAGTCGCTCGGCCCGCCGGTGCCCGCTGCCTCGTCGGCGCCGAGTCCCCTGTCGGCACCGCTCCTCTGTCGGTGCCGCTCCCCTGTGGCGCCGAGTCCCTTGTCGGCGCCGTTCCCCTGTCGGTGCCGCTCCTCTGTCGGCGTCGCTCCTCTGTCGGCGCCGTTTCTCGTCGGCGCTGCTCCCCTGTCGGCGCTGAGTCCCCTGTCGGCACCCTCCTCTGTCGGCGCCGCTCCCCTGTCGGCGCCGCTCCTCTGTCGGCGCCGCTTCTCTGCTCCCCTGTCGGCACCGCTCCCCTGTCGGCACCGCTCCCCTGTCGGCGCCGTTTTCCTGTCGGCGCCGCTCCTCTGTCGGCGGCGCTCCTCTGTCGGCGCCGTTTCTCATCGGCGCTGCTCTCCTGTCGGCGCCACCCCCCTGTCGGCGCTGAGTCCCCTGTTGGCGCTGCTCCCCTGTCGGCGCCACTCCCCTGTCGGCGTCACTCCCATGTCGGTGCCACTCCCTGTCGGCGCCACTCCACGGGTCATTCAGCGTCTGTAATCTCGGCCGGCTGTCCGGGATGCGCTGCCGGTGGTGGTAAAATACGCTGTAGTGACGTGCTGGTGCTCTGCAATGGTTCGTGTGTCGACTGTTGGTCCCTGACCACGCCCGGTGTGTGGAGCTTGGTGTGACGGCGTGGCGTCGCTGCTGGCGCCGGCCTGACCGGACGCCGTTTCCACAGGGACAGCCAGGATCTGATCCACCGGCTGTTCGTGTGTATCTCGGGCGTGGCCGATCAGCTGCAGACCAACTTTGCCTCCGACCTGCGCAATATCCTCAAGGCCGTCTTCCAGATCAATGCTACGCCCGAGGAGTCGTCCAGTGGCGGTGAGTGGCCGGTGTGGGGCAGGACGAGGCCGGCGTGTGCCGTCGAGACCGTTCCACTGTCGCTGACAGCTGCACGTCGAGCGTGTGGGATGATGTGTCGCTTGGGGACGATGCTGCGCCCTTGCGTTGGCGATGTCGCCTGAGAACGTGCTCCGTCCGCCGGCAGAGCTGAGCCCGTCGTGCGGCTCGGTGGACTCGGCCGAGGAGGCCCTCTCGACGGACACTGTCATCGACGTGGTGGAGGTGGGCGGCGAGCCACCGCCGCCGCCGCCACCACCGCCCCCGCTGCTCTCCGAGGAGTCGCACCTGGCCAGCAACATGCGTGTGGTCGGCGATCACATGGAGGCCGAGGTGCTGGTGCACGGTAGCATCGGCATCAGCGGCGAGGCCGGCCTGGTGCAGCAGGTGCTGGCGCAGGGGCCGACGCCGCGGCCGCCGCCGCGCGACCCCGCGCCCGCCACCGTCACCGTGCCGGCGCGGCTGGCCGAGGCGCTGGAGCCGGCCGCGCCGCCTTTGCCGGCGCGCCGCGCGCCGCCCGAGTGGGTGCCCGACCAGCTGGCGCCCGAGTGCATGCAGTGTGGTCAGGCGTTCACGGTGATGCGCCGCCGCCACCACTGCCGCCGCTGCGGCCGGGTGTTCTGCTCGCGCTGCAGTGGCGGCGTGCTGCCGCTGCCGCAGTACGGACACGTCAGCGCCGTGCGCGTGTGCGATGAGTGCCTGGCGGCCGAGACGCAGACCTGAGGCGGACCGGCGCCGGCCGCCGCCACTGGCGGCGAGCCCGCCGCCGGCCGCCACGCAAACGCTGCCTCCCGCCGGAGCGAACAGTCGTTACTGTTAGCCAAGGTCAATACTCGACGAGTTTTGTATTTTGTCCAAGTTAGTCCCGGTGCGTCCCTATTTTCGTGACGGCGAAGAGGAGTTCCTGTTGGCCGCCGTGTCCGATGTGTACGCTGTTATCGGGTGGGAGCTTGTAGTCGGTTCGGTCCGCTATTGACCCGGTGCCTGCCATGGCCCGAGCTGGAGCCGTCAGGTACGCTTGTGTGCAGTCTTATTGATTGCCATTGCTCGGGTCTCATTTAGGCAAGCCGGTGCGGACTGCGACAGTTGTTTGTTAGGCGTCCGCTCGACGGTGCTCAGTTCGCAGCGCGGCATGGACTCGTCAGCTTCTCGCGACAGCAGGCGCTGCTACTTAAAGGTCGTCCCGTCTCCGATGCCGCTGCGGCTGCGGCGGCGGCGGCTGTCACAAAAGGTTACGTGCGTCACAAACCAGTCGTGACCGCCAGGTCTCGCGTGGGCTCGCGTGCGCACGGCGCATGGATCGACTGCTCAATCGGCGCGCGGCGGACGCCTGCCTCGGGAGGACCCGTGTAGGGGAAGGGCCCGGACGGGGCCATGTCACGGCGACTTTTGGGGCGGGACGCGCGCGCCCGGCGCCGGACCGGCCTGTCTGCGGCCGGGCCGCCAGGGCTAGCTACTTAAGCGGCGCGCGGGCCGCCGGGCGACGCCGCCTTCGTGATACCGGCGCGCCTCGGCGTCGCCCGCCGGCGTCCTTGTACTCACGCCGCCTGCCCGCGTCCGACACGTTTTAATTTGGGACGCGCTACTGTGATATCGACGGCGACCAGGCGTTTATGCATGGGGCGGGTCGCGCTTTGTGGGCGGCGGGTGCTGGTTTTTTTAAGGCGCATCCCACAATACACGTCACGTGCGTATCGCTTGGTGTTTGCCGGCTGTGCGGGGACGCCGTCGGGAACGGCTGGTCCGCTCAGTTGCTGGACGCAACTGAGCGGACCAGGGCCATTTGGTCAGGGGGCGCCCAGGCTGAAGATGGAAGGACGGAGGCCCGGCTGCCGCTTCAGGGGAACAGCGGTCGTCGGGATGTCGGCCGGTGACGTCAGACCCGCCATCAGCTGAGTATGAAGCGCTGCGAACCGCCCGCGGTCACCGCGTGGGTCGCCGCGCGCGACTGTCCGACCCATGGACCGTCGGGCGTCGGCTGCCCGAACTGTGGACCGGCGGTCATCGGCCGTCCGACCTATGGACCGTCGGGCGTCGGCTGCCTGGTGTCGGCTGCCTGACCTGTGGACCGGCGGTCCTCGGCCGTCCGACCTATGGACCGTCGGGCGTGGGCTGCCGGGCGTCGGCTGTCCGACCTGTGGACCGGCGGTTCTCGGCCGTCCGACCTGTGGACCGTCGGGCGTCGGCTGTCCGACCTGCGGACCGTCGGTCATCGGCTGTCCGACCCGTGGACCGTCGGTCATCGGCTGTCCGACCTGTGGACCGTCGGTCATCGGCTGTCCGACCTGCGGACCGTCGGGCGCCGTCCGTTCTGATTGCGTTCTGCAGAAGTACCGGCGGTCGGCGCTATAACGGACCGCTACCGGCGTCTGACGAGACGCGAACGTTTCGCTGGCAGCCGATCTGTGCGAGTGCTGTCTAGCGTCGTATCTACGTCAAACGAATGCAGTTGCCACGCTGGGTTTATTTTTACGGACACAACTCTCGGCAGTGTTAGGCTTATCTGAACACATTATTTCAGACCCAATTCGATGCTTCATGTTTCGATGCTAGAGCACTTTGGAACGCATCCCATGTTGGACCCAGTGACGGCTTCTTTTTCAAGATCATGTGTTTACCGATCTCGCTGATACAGTGCAGCGTGTCACCACACATGGCGAGTGCCACGGGCGCGCCCGTGCCGCGCAGCCCTGGTCGAAGTCACCTCAAAGCAACGCCAGCACCACAGCCTCGACTGTCTGAACGATGCGGCTATCGCCTAGCCGCACGCGTCAGCGTGCAACGCCCTTCGCATCAAAGCCGCGTCCCGCCGAGAGAGCGGGGAGACGCGCGGCCGTGTGGCCACGCGGCGGCTGACGTCACTGGAAAGACTTGCACCGCGCCGCGGCGGCCGGCCGCCAGGCAGCGCGCGTGCGACCCGATCAGTGGGTGCGACCGCGGCCGGTGTGGCGGGAGAAGCGCGCGCGGCCCCGCCGGCGCCCCGCCCGCCGCCGGTGGCTCGACAGCCCCCGGTGGCCTGACAGCCGCCGACGCCTCTTGCGCACGCCAGACCCGTCGTCGTCCCAGTTGTTGTAGTCGCCGTATTCGCCGTAGTCGTAGGTTTCGGCGGCGCCGAGGCCAGGCGCGATCGTGGCGCCCGGCTCGTCGCCGTAGTCGTAGTCGATGTAGTCCTCCGGCGTCCCCTCGACAGGCTCTTGGTCAAGGGTGCCGGCTGCAAAGCAGCGCCGAGTTACCAGGTGCTGCGCTTCGCCAACGGACAATCCCATGACGTCACTGGGATGCTGCAATGGTGCCCGCCTTGAGCTGTCATCGTCCCTGTTGTCGCGGCGTGTTCTCTGTGGCGTCATCCACGTGCCCGGTGCGTGAAAAAGTTAACGGCCACAGGCCTTCGGCGACCGAAAGGACGCCTTCTACGGTACATACCTCTGAGCTCCGCAAGCTGCTTCTCCATGTCCTGTAGTCTGGCCTCCAGAGTGAGTACTTTTATGGTCAGTTCTTCCACCGCAGCTGGCGCCCCCTCTCCTGGATAACAAGGCACGTTGTATGAGCTGTCGAAAGCACGAAAGCTTCCAACTAGTCGGTCTCTTAACGAAGCTTGCATTGTTTGTTTTGTTTTCCGCAATGCCATCTGTTAACTGAAAGTGTACCAATATGCTTTATGTGATGTAAGATACTGTTTGTGGTGTGTGAAGGTAACATCAGGATCGACAGGTATTGCAAAGCGCGTCCCGGTTCACACAACCCAGGATCCATTGCAAATTAGCACTTGCTCGTTTAGTCGGCAACACACTACCGCCTTGGAAAACTTGTTAAACGACGGGCCTCTTAGGAGCCGTCCATAAATTACGTTCCGCATTTTTGGGGTTTTTCAATTATCTTCCCTTCGTTGCGCACTGATTACGCTAGGCGAAACTCTCTCCTGGTAACACGGCGTAAAATGTACTTTCCAAAAAAGTAACGCCTGTTTGGTCGCCAATTAAGCGAGATATGCGAAACGAGTAAGGCATCAGTTGCTGGTCTTGAAATGGAGTCAGTTATATCTACCTTTGAGCGTATACGTCTTTTAATAATCTTGCAATGGTTTGCAACCACGCCTGAGCGTCACGTTATGCTGTCCAAACCCCCCCTCTCCTCGTTTGCTACGCTTCCGTTACGTCCCAGCAGAATTCTCCTCCCTCCTCCAAGTATAACGTAATTTACGGACGGCTCCTAGAGCATCGAACCCACGTCTGAATGACGTTGCGCCGTAATGCAGTCGGTGATCAAACCAATTAAGAGATGAAAACCTTCCAACGTGACAAGGATGCGTTGTTCTGCGTGAGTGGCATACGTCGACACCACGGCTCCTTCGACAGTGAGCAGTGGACGAACGCTGGCATCCTGTACCAAACGCCCCGCCGGATGCCTTGTTGGACAGCCCATTTCCCAGAGCGCGGCGCCTTCTGGTGGCGTCCCCTGCGACAGGTGGCGCCACCATTGCTGACCTGGCGTGGTGACCGGTGCAGCTCCGCCGAGGCCGGGCGGACCGGGCTCGCCGGGCTCTCCCTTGGGCCCGGCCAGTCCGGAGAGGCCCGGCTCGCCCGGCGGGCCCCGCAGGCCCTGCAGGCCGGCCTCGCCCTTCTCCCCCTGGGGGCCGCGCGGTCCCGGAGGGCCGGCCTCGCCCTGCACGCCGGGCAGCCCCACCAGACCGGGCTCGCCTGCCGGCAGGCGCGATGTCAGCTGCGCGCCGACAGTCATCACTCACGGCAGCGAAACACCGCGGCACCGGCCACCCATCACCTGGGAAAACCTGGTCACCCCTGGTGATTGGGTAGGAACATCTTCAGCAGTATTTTTCTAAGGCACATATTTACATCGTGACAGCAGGCAGCACTTGCTGTCAAGTATGGAAAAATTCATTGCTTACGAATTGGATAGCGGGATATTTGTAACTTTGTTCATAACTAAGAGCTGAACCCGTGCTCCGTTCCCCGACGCCGGCTGGCGGCCTGCAGCGGGCCCAGCCCCGTTCCCCACCTCTGAGGCCCGGCTCGCCGGCCGGTCCCGGCGGTCCGGGACGTCCAATAGTGCCGGGCACGCCCGGTGCTCCCGGCACTGAGTAGCGGTCCTGCGGCCGGTCCGGCGTCAGGGCCGGGCCGCCCACGTCCCCTGGCTGGCCGGCGTCACCTGGGTGGCGGTACAGAACGCGTCAGAGGGTGCCACAGCCGACACTGGACCCAGGCTCATCCAACAACGGCCGGAGGCGCTGGTTCCGGTTTGGAACAAGTTTAGTTCGGAAGAGGTAGCTTTTGACATCTCATGCTCACGATGTTAGGGGTGGCCGGGCCTTTAATCGCGTGGCTAGTGAGTTCATAGCAAAATGTGCGCAATGCCCCTACTATAACCAGAAACTGAGCGGTCATGCTGGTGTGAGCTGGTTTCGAACGGGATATTTCCGCAGAATTCTGCGCAACCTGGGAAGTTTTGCTTTCCTCTCTCATGCCATGGCATGGAAATGAATTGCAAACAATGCTCATGATATTAGCAACGCATCTGTTTACGGATTCAAATTTGCATTTGCGTACCCTTGGATTTGACCAAAAAATGCGGAGAATGGAGGCTTTAACGTAGGCACACAATATTTAGCGACATTATGTGGTACATCCAGCTGATTGACCCTCGGAGATAAAATAGGCAATCGAGGCTCAGTCTTGTGTGCCCTTAACTGCTCTCGGTACCAAGAATTGCGCAAAAATTCCAACACCAGCATGCCAAATCTAGAAAAATGATAATCCACACCCAATAAATAGACTTGATAATCCAACGTTTGACGCTAGGGCAACGAAGCTAATAACAGCCGGGCTCTAAAGCTTGCTTGTGAAGTTTCTTGTTGGCGCTTGTCGAAGGTGCTTGATGAAGGTGCTTGGCTAAGTTGCCTGCTTGGAAAGCTTCCTCGTGAGATCGAAAACAGGTGGCACCAAGAGAAAGTGTGGCGTGTAATATGTACCAGAGTGTGCTCAAACTGGGATCCATTACGGTTCGCTCGCCTCAGAGTAAATGTTACCAAAGGCCATAATGTTTGCTCATTTTCAGTGCTCGCTTGTGCAGCAAATCTGCAGTCGACCTGCCACCGCTAATCGTCTACAAGGAAGACAAAATTAAGTTGCGTTTCAGGCCTTCCAGCATACAGCCTTTAAGCCACAAACATGAGAAACATCTGGGAGAGTCTGGCGTTTTAACTGAGAAAAGCTGTCACTTTGGTAAAACAAGAGCCTACACGAAGCTGTGCAGTGCAGCGCAACAAGGATGGCATGTCACGACAGTCAGCCGCGTCGCCAAAACGAGAGGCCACGGACGTCACGTCTCCCAATAATGAGACTGGCGGAAGGGCGCAGCCCGTGACTAGGCCGCTCGGCCTCACGGGTCCTGGAAACATTGGCAACATGCCCTTTTTGGACGCGGTGCTGCAGTTCCTCAGCAGCGCCCGCACCCTACGTGACTACATCTTGAAGGGGACACTCATCAGAACATTTGGCACGCTGAAGCGAGACCTGTGAAAGAGCTCGGATAGGGCTGACCGGGCGCTGACTACCTCCCCATTGAGGCCATAGTTCCAGGGGTTTGTCTCATTTCGCGGCCCG